ATAGATAAAGCTGACTGGAAAAGTCTGTGCCCTCCTAACCATACCCAAGCACTCTGAATTTGTTGGCGATGTCCATTTTGCCATATGAGTTCACGGTGACCTAACCCTAACCCTAAGTGGAATTTTCCTCCAATGGGATTTCCCCATGTATTTTTCCAGGAAACATAGATAGGCAGGCTAGAAACGTAAGTGCCCTTCTAATCATACCCAAGCAGTCCCAATATGTTGGCAATGTCCATTTTGCCGCATCAGTTCATCGTGACCTAACCCTAACTCTAAGTGGAATTTTCCTCCAATGTGATTTCCCCATGTATTTTACCAGGAAACATAGATAGGGCAGGATATAAAAGTAAGTGCCCTCCAAACCATACCAAAGCACTCTGAGTTTGTTGGCGATCTCCATTTTGCCGTATGAGTTCATGGTGACCTAACCCTAACCCTAAGTGGAATTTTCCTCCAATGGGATTTTCCCATGTATTTTACCAGGAAACATAGATAAGGCAGATTGGAAAAGTCTGTGCCTTCCTAACCATACCCAAGCACTCAGAGTTTGTTGGTGATGTCCATTTTCCTCTCCGAGTTCATGGTGACCTAACCCTAACCCTAAGTGGAATTTTCCTCCAATGGGATTTTCCCATGTATTTTACCAGGAAACATAGATAGAATATGATAGAAAAGTCTGTGCCCTCCTAACCATACCCAAGCACTCTGAATATGTTGGCGATGTCCATTTTGCCATATGAGTTCACGGTGACCTAACCCTAACCCTAAGTGGAATTTTCCTCCAATGTGATTTCCCCATGTATTTTTCCAGGAAACATAGATAGGGCAGGCTAGAAACGTAAGTGCCCTTCTAATCATACCCAAGCAGTCCCAATATGTTGGCAATGTCCATTTTGCCATATCAGTTCATCGTGACCTAACCCTAACTCTAAGTGGAATTTTCCTCCAATGGGATTTTCCCATGTATTTTACCAGGAAACATAGATAGGGCAGGCTAGAAAAGTAAGTGCCCTCATAATCATACCCAAGCACTCCGAATTTGTTGGCAATGTCCATTTTGCTGTATCTGTTCATGGTGACCTAACCCTAACCCTAAGTGGAATTTTCCTCCAATGGGATTTTCCCATGTGTTTTACCAGGAAACATAGATAGGGCAGACTGAAAAAGGCTGTGCCCTCCAAACCATACCCAAACACTCAGAGTTTGTTGGTGATGTCCATTTTCCTCTCCGAGTTCATGGTTACCTAACCCTAACCCTAAGTGGAATTTTCCTCCAATGGGATTTTCCCATGTATTTTACCAGGAAACATAGCTAGAATAGGATAGAAAAGTAAGTGCCCTCCTAATCATACCCAAGCACTCTGAATATGTTGGCGATGTCCATTTTGCCATATGAGTTCACGGTGACCTAACCCTAACCCTAAGTGGAATTTTCCTCCAATGGGATTTCCCCATGTATTTTTCCAGGAAACATAGATAGGGCAGGCTAGAAACGTAAGTGCCCTTCTAATCATACCCAAGCAGTCCCAATATGTTGGCAATGTCCATTTTGCCGTATCAGTTCATCGTGACCTAACCCTAACTCTAAGTGGAATTTTCCTCCAATGTGATTTCCCCATGTATTTTACCAGGAAACATAGATAGGGCAGGATATAAAAGTAAGTGCCCTCCAAACCACACCAAAGCACTCTGAGTTTGTTGGCGATCTCCATTTTGCCGTATGAGTTCATGGTGACCTAACCCTAACCCTAAGTGGAATTTTCCTCCAATGGGATTTTCCCATGTATTTTACCAGGAAACATAGATAAAGCTGACTGGAAAGGTCAGTGCCCTCCTAACCATACCCAAGCACTCTGAATTTGTTGGCAATGTCCATTTTGCCGTATCAGTTCATCGTGACCTAACCTTAACTCTAAGTGGAATTTTCCTCCAATGGGATTTTCCCATGTATTTTACCAGGAAACATAGATAAGGCAGACTGGAAAAGTCTGTGCCTTCCTAACCATACCCAAGCACTCAGAGTTTGTTGGTGATGTCCATTTTCCTCTCCGAGTTCATGGTGACCTAACCCTAACCCTAAGTGGAATTTTCCTCCAATGGGATTTTCCCATGTATTTTACCAGGAAACATAGATAGGGCAGGATATAAAAGTAAGTGCCCTCCTAACCATACCCAAGCACTCTGAATTTGTTGGCAATGTCCATTTTGCCGTATCAGTTCATCGTGACCTAACCCTAACCCTAATTGGAGTTTTCCTCCAATGGCATTTTCCCATGTATTTTACCAGGAAACATAGATAGGGCAGGCTAGAAAAGTAAGTGCCTTCCTAATCATACCCAAGCACTCTGAATTTGTTGGCAATGTCCATTTTGCCATATGATTTCACGGTGACCTAACCCTAACCCTAATTGGAATTTTCCTCCAATGTGATTTTCCCATGTATTTTACCAGGAAACATAGATAGGGCAGGATATAAAAGTAAGTGCCCTCCAAACCATACCAAAGCACTACGGGTTTGTTGGCGATGTCCATTTTGCCGTATGAGTTCATGGTGACGTAACCCTAACCCTAAGTGGAATTTTCTTCCAATGGGATTTTCCCATGTATTTTACCAGGAAACATAGATAGAATAGGATAGAAAACTAACTGCCCTCCTAACCATACCCAAGCACTCCGAATTTGTTGGCAATGTCCATTTTGCTGTATCTGTTCATGGTGACCTAACCCTAACCCTAAGTGGAGTTTTCCTCCAATGGCATTTTCCCATGTATTTTAACAGGAAACATAGATAGGGCAGGCTAGAAAAGTAAGTGCCCTCCTAATTACATCCAAGCACTCTGAATTTGTTGGCAATGTCCATTTTGCCGTATGAGTTCACAGTGACCTAACCCTAACCCTAAGTGGAATTTTCCTCCAATGGGATTTTCCCATGTGTTTTACCAGGAAACATAGATAGGGCAGGATATAAAGGTCTGTGCCCTCCAAACCATACCAAACCACTCTGAGTTTGTTGGCGATCTCCATTTTGCCATATGAGTTCATGGTGACCTAACCCTAACCCTAAGGTGAATATTCCTCCTATGGGATTTTCCCATGTATTTTACCAGGAAACATAGCTAGAATAGGATAGAAAAGTAAGTGCCCTCCTAAGCATACCCAAGCACTCTGAATTTGTTGGCGATGTCCATTTTGCTGTATCAGTTCATGGTGACCTAACCCTAACCCTAAGTGGAATTTTCCTCCAATGGGATTTTCCCATGTATTTTATCAGGAAACATTTATAGGGCAGGCTAGAAAAGTAAGTGCCCTCATAATCATACCCAAGCACTCCGAATATGTTGGCATTGTCCATTTTGCCATATGAGTTCATGGTGATCTAACCCTAACCCTAAGTGGAATTTTCCTCCAATAGGATTTTCCCATGTATTTTACCAGGAAAAATAGATAGGGCAGGCTAGAAAAGTCAGTGCCCTCCTAACCATAACCAGGGGTGTCACAGTCACCTTAGAAGGGGAGGAAGAAGTCGCAAACACCTCTCGCAACGCATGACATCGCACTCCTCCCCCGAGTTATCTTGGCCAGCACACTGGCGGTGGTGTCTAAATTTGCATGGGGGGGAAGGAGTACTCTGAAGCGTATCCACGCAAATGGGCTGCGGTGCCTCTCCTCCCTGGCGGGTAATCCTGAATTCCAGACGCAGAAGAACAGGTTAGCCTCCCCGAAGGGGTCCCTGCTTGCCTGGGACCATCTATCCGTTTTTCCCAGCTCACAATAACGAGCTCTCGTCCACTAAATCTGGCGGCGGGGGGGGGGGAACTAGGTTTGAAAGGGACTCTGGACCAGTTGAGGGGAGAGAGGCCAGAGCGGATGACCGAGCAGCGGCGGGCCAGAGCCAGAGGAGCCCGGCAGAGGGCGATCGCAGCTGGTTCTGATCGGCGTACGCCGGACTTCCTCCCCACGCCTCGGACCCCCGAGCTCCACGTTGGCGAGCGGTCGAACTGGGAAAGCCGCCTCCCGCGCGCCGTAAGCCCGGGAAGACCCTCGGCCGCGCTGCGCCCCGGGCTGGCCAATAAAGGTTTCGCAGCCGTCCGAAAACAGGCGCATCTGAGAGCTGCCCGGCCGGGACCCGCGGGAGTAGGCGGAGCGCGCACCTCTTCCCCCCCCCCCTGCAAGTCCAGCGCCCGCCCCCAGCTGTTGTGGAGGCGCCGCCCCCGAGACGGACCTGGTATCGGCTGAAGGCGCCCGGGAGGGGGCGGGGGACGGAGCAACGCTCACGAATCCGGGTCGGCGCCGAAGGAAGGGGCGGGCCGGGAGGCGAAGGGAGGCAACGAGGAGGGCTGCTGGCCGAATAGTCCGGTGCGCAAAGCGAAGCTGAGAGCAACGGCTGCGGTGTGATATCGACCGATCCAGCAACTAGCCGAGGCCGCGGGGCAGACGCGGAGACCTTGAAGAGACCTCCCGGCCAGCAGGACAGAGACTGACACAGCCGCCTCGGGGCTTACTGCTTGTCCCCGAGCGCCTGCGAAGGGAGCCAGTCACCAGCCGCCCGAGCCACCTCTCCGCACCGCGAGCTTCGGCCTTCTGGCCGGGACCGGAATGTCGAGCTCCCCCCTGAAGGAGCGCCTCTCGCCGGTGGGGCTGGACTGCTGCAGCTGCTGCCTGGATCTGGCCAACGGCCCCCTCGGCTACAACAGCAACTTCACCCCCCTCCTCCAGCTGCGCGAGCAGTTGGCGTGCGAGAGTCTCGGTGCCGCGCCCGAGCTGAGGCGCCTCATGCGGCAGGACTCCCTGGAACCGGTGGTGCGCGACCCCCGCTATCTCCTCAGCCGCGGGATGTGCAACCGGAACATCGACCAGACGCTGCTCTCGATCCTGCTCTTCTTCCACAGGTGGGCGAGGGCTGCAGGACGGCTGCCGATGAGGGAATTCCCGGTGAGGGGGGGGGCTGTTTGCCTGGGAGCGAATCGACCGCAAATGGGCTGGGGTGGGGAGAGCAGTGCAGGCCTCTGGGGGCACAGACAACAAGGTCCTTTCTGAAGGCTTCCTGGCTGGGACCGGGCAGCAGTTGCCTAGGGGCCGGCATTAACGGGGCTCCAGGCCTACCATCCGTGGGCAGCGACAGGTGCTGAGACTTGTCTCCCATCTCTGTTGGCTTGTGAGGAAGAAACTGCCTAATGACCCCAGGGCTACCTTGCCCCCCCAACGGCAACCTAAGTGACCATATAAGCTGGCACGGCTGGAACCTGGCATGTGTCGGAGAGGACTTTGCCCTGGGAGTGCCTGTGGGACGGTTGTGGCTGACCAAAGACAGCCCCAGACTGAGCGTCATTTCATAACAGTGGGCGTAGCTTCTTTCCCAGGAAAAGGGATTTCTGTAGGTACTGTGTTGGTTGAGTGCTGCAGGAGAGGCAGGTCTCCTGGTGACAGGGTGCGCCTGGCAGGCTGGGCGTGCCTCTCTTCCTCTGGTCTTGGAAGAGGTTCCAGTTTGGGTACTTCTGAAGGAAATGCTGGCCGGGAAGGGCTTGCTCTGGGGTCAAAGAAATGGCAAGGAACAGAATCCAGTTGGGCTGCCCCTCTGCCTCAAGCATCCCATCAACTGGGAGTCATCCTGCCTTGGCCCCCAGGGCAGCTGAGACTTAGCAGGTGCTTCCTCTGAGAGCTGCCCCCCTCCATTGGTGGAATGGGCCGGCCAGGGATTGTGCTGGCAGGCGGGCACAAGGAGTGTGAGAGCCTGGCATGATTGAAGTCCTGGGATGAGCATGTCAGTCAGCAGTTGTGCTTGTTTGAGCACCCCGCTCACATTAGCTGATTTGGTGATTGCGGGCTCCCAGGTCTCTCTGAGACCTGTTTGGCCTGAGAAGCATCCTGGCAACTTTTCCTCTCAAATGTGCAACCTAAGAGGTTGGGATCTGGGGAGGCAAAGGACTCCATCCTCTTTTGCGCTTTCTAGCTGGGCAAGGGAGAAGGTCCATACTACGAGAACATGAAGGGGAAAGGGCTGCCAATTCTGAAGGGACCCAGCTCTTCTCGGATCCTCAGGCTAGAAGTGTGGCTCCTGGTTTCATTGATTGTATCATCAAGCTTGGCTTCATTTAGCCTCTGCTCAGGCTTCTGGGCCAAGTTTCCTTAAGCAGTGCCCAGAGCCTCGCCCTGCACCAAGCAGTGCTTAAGGAAACTTGGTCAGAGCAGATGGTTGAGTTTCAGAGGCTCTGCTGGTTTGATGGCAACCCCTGACTAAGCTCCCTCGGGAACCACTGAGGACCACAATGACTAGGCCAGTCACATTAGCAGTTTCAAGCTTTCAAGAAATGTTACTGGGGCTGAACTTGATCAAAGGGCACCCGCTTGGAGGTGGCCAGAGCCTTTGCAGTCAGAAGTGTGTGCAGGAAGAGCCAAACTCCAGAGTGGAAGTTCTGTGGCTGATGGTTGCAATGGAGTTGAAAGGGACAGTCACCTGCTAGCTTCAGAGGGAGTGATATGTTGAGAGCATTGAGTTTTCCTACCCTGTTTTATTGGTCAGGCACTGTGGGGATGGCAGATGTGCAGATGTGAGACAGGCTGATGGGATGCAGGTGTTAGCACAACAGGCAGGGCAACTTTTGGGGAAGGTAAGCATGGCCTTAACTGGTCCCTGGCTCAAGGCAATTGGACTTCTACATGGGAAGATGCATGATGGTGACAGGCATCTGCATTGCTTCTTCTGCTGGGCACCCAACTAGAAGACACATCTCCCAGGTTCCCTCCCCATCCTGCTTTCTTGACTGGACTGTGGTGGGAAGGGCAATGAGCACCACTCCCAGGCCTACCCAGCCCATTATTTCAAAGACTCAAGGCTCTACAGGATCCCCTCAGCTGAACGAAGAACACTTCATCATGGCATCTATAAACAGCTGGCAGATTTAACTGCTCAGGAACAATTAACGCGCATGGAATGAATGGGATCAGCAGTGCCAGACAAGGAACCGCTCAGCTGGTGAGCCGTTAAGGTCTTCATTCACAAGCTGATCCATTATTTGGTGTCAGAAAAGCTGATCTTGTGTTCGCCACCCATTCATCCCTGCAGACCCTGAGAAGGAGACTCATCAAAATGGGAATGCTGATTCCACATGGAGCCCAAAGACCCCCAGATGAATTTCAGGGGGTGGCAAAAACAGCAAGAACTTCATACCTTGGCCTAGGATTTGGGGAGGAGAGTGAAGTCAGCCAATACATAGCACAGAAAAGTAGTTTTCACAAATCTTGGCTTGTTGCAAGGGGCAAGGGAGGGCATTCTCCTCAGACCCTTTTCCTGGGCTTGGCGCATGTTCCCAACAACAGTGACCCAAAACTCACAATGCCGCTGCTCTGTCCTCCAGGGAAGCTGGCAACCACCAGGCCTGCCAGCTGCCTGGGCAGGGGGGCATTTCTCTTTGCTCCCCAGGAGCACCCCCTAATCACTCCTTATTTCCCAGCCAGTTTAGTGAGCCAGCAGGCAGAGTGAGCAGGGGAGGCAGCTGCTAAGGGAGTCTTCCCCCCACCACAAATCCTGCATTGTGACATGATCCAGAATGAGAAGTTTATCAAAACGTGGGGCACTCTTCTGCATAAGCCAGTTATAGGCCCCAAAGGGTGGCTGAAAGTCAGGGAATGCTGATCCAATTCAGAGATGTGGATTGATATTCACATCATATACTAAGCCAGAATATCTTTTCTGATTGGCAAGTTATGATTTGTGGCTTAGTGTGCATTGCAGGGATCATCAGTATGCAGTTCTGCATGTGAATATAGACAACAGTGAGGCTGCTGGAGCAGAGAAGCACAGCCCCCCCCCCCCCTCTTCTGGGGCCTCTTTCCTCCCCAGCCTTTATCTTTTCCCTTCAAGAATTTGCATGAAGGGGCTGCTGGCCTTCTCCAGGGATGCTCCCCCCAAGCTGCACAGATCTTCCAGGCAGAAGGAAGAAGATTACCTGGCAGCTACAGAAACCCACCAGCCAAAATATGCTGGTGCTGACATATCCACATGTATTTAAGTGGTACCAATGAAAAAAGGCTGGAAAAGATGTGTTTCTATGACTCTGCATGTGCAGGTTCCCATGCAGACAACACTACCTGGGAAGACTAAGTTTTCAGTGCCCCAATTTGAAAACAAACCTTTTAAGATTGTAACTTTGCTGACAACCCAGTGGAGCTCAGTCAATAGATCCTGTTCAGCGGTTTAGCAATGGGGGATGTTAAAAGCTTCCTAGGCAGCATATGTGCTTCCTCTGTGCCCCCATGTAGCCCTTTGAGCTCTTCTCACCCTTTCAAAGAGTCTCATTTTCAATCCTTGGAAGGAACAGCTGCCTCCCTGAAACAGGGACTCCTCCGTCCCTCCCACTGAGGGAATGGTTTCCTTTTAGGGAACCTGGTTGCAGAGCCCTTGACAAGGCCAGCCAAAGATGCTGGGACTTGCTGCCCCCTTTACAGCCTGAACACTGTGGGGAGGGAAGGGAATTCCTTCTGGTTCCCAGGCTGTGGAGTGAGCAAGCACAAGGCAGCCATGTGCTGCATGTCCCGCCCAGGCCATGTGCTGGCGTGCCAGTAAACTCAGAACTGGGAGTTCTGCCAAGGCCTCCATCAACGGGAGAGGCCTCCAAGCAGCTGGAAACGGAGCCCGCCAGCAAGTGGTTCACTCTCCAGCTGCAGGGAGTCCTTGCCCCAAGACAAGCAGAGGAAGAGAGCCGCTGCTTCTCCAGGAAAGCCACCTCACCCTCCCACCTCTCTGGAGCTGCTGTCTCTTCCTGCCACTGCCTGAATCCCGAGCAACATTCCCCTTTATTACCAGAGGGCACCAATGAGAGATGCCTACCACGGGGTTTCTGCCCTGAAGAGAACTCTGTGCACATCGCCAAGCACAGGCCTTGGTTTGTTAACCTGCCACCACAAGCCCTCGTGGTGCCTGCAGGGAAGACCAACCTTCAGGGAGCAGCACTGGTGGAAAAGGGAGCTGGGAAAGACACAATTGTCCCAATCTCAGTAGGAGAGTCCTGAGCCCCTCTGCAGGGCAAGACCTCTTTCGCAGCACCAAGGAAAAGAGCCAGCTGTGCCTGCTGCTGTGCCTCCCCCCCCCATTCTTGGCAAGAGTGGCCTGCCGAGCGGGCTCCCGTCCCCTTTCTTGATTCCCACTCCTGCTCCCCGGGCTAGAGGGAGGCCGTGAGCGAGAGGACAAGCTTTTGGAGACTCACAGAGCCAGGAGGAGCTCTCTCTTCCTATGGGGAGAGGCGGGAGGGCCCCGCGAGGAGCGGCCGCCAGAGGTCCCTCTCACCCGGTCAGAGAGCCGCTGCTTGGCTCACCTCTGGCCTCACCAAGTAGCAATAACAACATGTTTGGGTGGCTTCTTACGTAACTGCCAACCTCGACCTAGTTTCGCGCTGCGCTTGGGCAATACTTTACATTTCTGACTCGGCCTCCACTTTTGCAACGCCTTCATTAGTAGCCAAGGCAGATTAAAGGGTGGCGGTGGTTAGCAGGGTGTTGCAAGGGGTCTAACGTGTGAATCCGGGGGATGAGGAGGTAGCAAGTTGCCCTGCGGATAAGCGGGTCTTCTCTTTGCAGGAGAGGATGAAAGCGGCATTGTCCCGTATGTCTCCTGCAGCCCCGGAACTTGCCTCCGAGTCCATAGCGGGAGGGGGGGATCGGATGAAGCTATCCGGAGCCCCCGTCCTTCGAAAAGGCGACTATCCGCTTTCACGACCGGCGTCCTAGACAAAGGACCAGCGGGTCCCGGTCTGGAGCCGCAGAAATGGGAAAAGTGACGCGCTGTTTCTGCTGACGTCGCGGGGGGGGGCAGTGCCAGCAGCGTCTCCGACTGGCGCCCTTCGGATACTTTGGCCCACAATTTGTAGCCGCCCCTGCGCCTTCGGCCCGGGACTGCAGCTTCCTCGCGTTTGTTACAGCTGGAAAGAGCTGCGCGTCTCGCCTGCGGCTCGCGAATGCGGGGCGCGGCTCGACCGGCTCGATTGCGCGTAACCGTCCGGGCTCAGCTACGCGCGGTCCCGGCAGGAGGGGCGTGGCCTGATTGCATAGCACGCTGAGACCATGTGACGTCTCGAGAGGCTTCCTATATAAGGCGGGCGAACGCCGAAATAGCTGCAGCTCTTTCCGGCCGTCATTTTGTGTTGTCGTCTCTCGGGCTCTGCGTGCGCTTCCCCCCCCAACCATGAGTACTGGCGTGTACCCGTTCCCGATGGAGGTGGCTGTTTACCAGCTGCACAACTTCTCCATCTCCTTCTTCTCCTCCTTATTGGGCGGGGACGTGGTCTCGGTCAAGCTAGACAACAGGTAGAAGCGGCGTCCGGCTGGGGAGAAGGTTAGCTGGGCGGGGCCGCCTGTCTCGCGTGCTTACGATGACGCCGTTCTCTTGTTTCTTGCAGCGCGTCCGGGGCCAGCGTGGTCGCCATCGACAACAAGATCGAGCAAGCCATGGTGAGTGTCTCGGTGGGAGGTGAGGACGCGCGCTGGCCCGCCGCCCGCGGCAAACGGGTTGCGCTGCGGCTCCGCGCTACTTGCTGGCGGAGAGGAGGCGAGGGAACTCCACGCTCCCTTCACTCAGGCCCGAAAAGAAACGGCCGGTGTATTCCGGCGCAGGGCTCAGATCGGGGGCTGCAGTTCCGCAGGGAGAGTTCAACGGAGCAGATGCAGAGAACGGGGGCCTTGCTGCTCCAGCCTTTTAGCGACGAATTTTCGGGGGCCTCCAAGCTGCGGGTTAATTTTAGAGCTAGCGGGAGAAGGCGGGCTTCCCCTCTTCCTGGAGGGCGGCAGAATCTCGCCACTGCGCTGAACTGTGGCTCTCGCGGGCGCGCGCGCGCGAAAAAATCCAGTCTCGGTGCTTTCGGGACACGAGCCGCAAAAGCTGCCAGCCGCCCGGACGTTTGTCTAGCCGCCAGTTCTGTTTACTCACTGGGACTTTGCTCCTACTCTTTCCAGGATCTGGTCAAGAATCACCTGATGTACGCAGTGCGGGAGGAGGTGGAGGTACTCAAGGAGCAGATCAAGGAGCTGGCTGAGAAGAACTGCCGCCTGGAGCGCGAGAACAGCTTGCTGAAGAACCTGGCCAGCCCTGAGCAGCTGCAGAAATTCCGCTCCCACCTGCTCCTGGAGGCCCCCGTGGCCGAGAAGAAGAGCCAAGGGGCAGCTGCCCCAGCCCAACACAGGGCGGGCTCTGCGGTGTAAGGTGGCTCTGTCCATGGGGTGGGCAGAGCCACAGAACTGCTTCAACTTGATCTCCAAGCGAACGTGGTTTACTCACATCTCCTGTGGAGGATTCCATAGAGGGCCTGATGGAGACCCTTCGCCTGCGACCCCTTCCTTGGGTCTGGCCACAGACTCCTAAGAAAAGGAGCAAGGCTGCATTGGAGTTGCTATGGGCACACGGCTGCTCCACCTGAAGGAGACCACGAGCACCCTGGAGAAGGGGCTGTGCTGAAAGGGGGGGGCAAAGACTGTTGGTTTAGAAGAATCTGGTTGGAGGTTTTCTTCAATCAGCTCAGAGAAAAGGCAGCCCCTACCACTCCTGGGATAGGAACAGGAGCAGCTGATCAGCTGGCAAGACTTTCCTGCCCCTCACTAGCTCTCTCGCTCCACAATCCAGACCTCTGTGCCTGGCACCCGCCTGTTGCAGACTTGGGCATGTGGGGAGCTGTCAAGATGCCGACTAGAATGAGGACTGCAAGCCAGAGGGGAGGAGCTTCTCATGCTGTGATTTGTCTACTGACAACAGCCTTGGGGAGGGGGGGGGCTCGGTTCATTGCCTTTATCAATGTTCCCTGCAGCCCCTGGATCTCTTGATGGGGTCCAAAGAGGATCACCAGGGGAGCCGGAGGAGGTGGCTGAGGGACTCTCACACACCCCCCCTGGGGGGGAGAGGGAATCTTGCTTCTGTAGTGCATTCTGAAGATGGGTGCATAGTGAAATATTGCAATAAAGTTTGTCATACACATCTGTCTAATCAAGTCTTCTTTCCCAAGGGGAGGGGTTATGCAGAATGTATAGTGGACACTGGCAGTGGGACCAAGCAATGGAGGGCTGTGGATTGGAGCAATAGAAGCATCCATTGGGTAATTTTTCCATCTCCCTCCCCCCCCCCCGCCGCCACCAAGCTTTGAATAGCTTGGAAGAAACCAGGAAGGCAGTTTCTCCAGTGACTAGAAGAATCTCCAAGGACCGACTACCTGATTAGAATGCAGCTTCCCCATTATCCATTTGAAAACCTTTGGGGGGGGGGTGCATGTACACTGGCACACATCTTGATGGCTTGTGCAGAGCAGCCACCTTTCAGCATTAATACAAACAGCTGTATTCATGGAAATAGCCACGATTGATTTGATTGTAGTTTGTTCAACTGAATTTTGGAGGCTTGTGCAGTGAAACCCTAAATTATCCACGGGGCTGACTATGTGCTACTACAAAGCTGCTGCAACCACCTACCATTTTGAATTTTGTGAAGTGGGACCTTGACAGCAGGAATGAGTATTGCCCCAAGATGAGCTGCTCTGCCCCGCCCCCCCCCGTCAACCTTTGCAAAAGCAGAGATGAAGGGACTCCCCAGGACAATCAAAGATGCCACTGATCCTGGTCTTGCAGCTCCGTTGAAGGGTAATTGAACTGCGGGACAGAGGCCAGCGTGGCTGGTAATCACTGTGAATCCACTAGAGAGATGGATTCATGAGAGAGAAAGAGAGAGAGAGAAGAGGGCAGGGGTCTAATGAACAGTTTCAAACCCACCTTCCCTCTTCCAACAGCTCAGCGAGATTTTTCTTCCCTCCGGATTACACACCTTCAAACCGCTGCCTCGTAATTTGCAAAGCTCTGGTCATCCCAGCATTTGGTTTTAATGGGGAAGATCTGAAGGGCGCTTTCCTCGGCGCCCGGAGCACGTTCTGCTTGGCAAGAGGTGCTCCAGACTCGGCGCCCAGTGAAGAGATTGAACGGCTTGCTCGACCACACGAGGAGCAAGATCCGCAGCTTTGTGCGGGGTAAGGCAGCCCCTGCACTGCTCGGAACGGCTAAATTGGGACGCTAAATCGGAGCAACGGCGCCTTTTGAAGAGGGGCGTGTCGATGCCTCATCAAAGATGCTGCTTTTCGCTATAAAAAGTGGCCCGGAGCAGTGAATGGCGACTGGGGGGAAACGAGCTGGGAGATCCAGAGGCTGATCGCCTCCACCTCTGGGAACTAGCGGCCTGCTCTGATTCCCACCCGGTCCAGAGGGTTCTCGTTGCCTATAAAGGTCTTTGCCTCCGCTTTTCGATGCTCCACTTCCCCACGCATCCGCTGGGCCCTTGGGCTGGGCTGTTCCAGGGCGCGCCGCCTGTTTTGTTTATCGGCTCCATGGAGCCAAGCGGGGGCGCACCCTCCGCAGAGCTGGGGAGCTGGGCGCGTTTTGCAAACGAAAGGAAAGTCACCGTAGCAACGGGCTGCCAAGAGGTTGTCTGGGCCAATGGGGACCCCTGGAGAACGCATGTGATCTGACGTTACCGCCCATCTGACGTTCCTTGGGGTGGGGGCTGAGCTGCCCTGCCGGGCTGTTGTCCCGCACCTCTTCTCGATCTATGCCGGGGCAGCTTCTGCTCGGGGCATTTGGGCCCTCGGGGGGGGGGAGGTTGGGAGGACGCGTCCTGTTGCTGGGGCCGGACAAAGGCACCCAAGCAAGAGAAGCTCGCTTCCCTCAAGCACGGAGGAAACGGGCTTGCTTCTTCCGGCTGCTGGGGAATTTTGGGAAATGTGATCCCGGCCCCACCCTGTCGCATCGTTTGGGGAAAGCACAGCTGGGGCTTGCTTAGGATTGCTTGGAATGGCCCCGTTTGGTAGCTCGGCAAAAGAAGGCGCTTATCGAGGTCGGAGGGGTTCCGTCCCCTTCTCTTTTGCTGCCATACCCGAAGCCCTTTACGCAGCTGCGGAAGGAAGTGAAACCCCACGGTGGGTCTGCCTGGATCCTTCCCACCCACCTGCCCACCCTGACTCCAACAGGACAATGTGCACTGCACAGTTCAGAGAAACCGGTGAGCTTTTGCCAGAAGTGGTCAATGAATTTATCCTTTCACCTGCGACTGGACAGAATCAGCCTGGTTGTTTCCAGAGCCTCCGGGATCCCAATGGGGAGGCCTGCACTTTTCTGAGGTGATGTGATCCAAGCAATTCTTGGGACTATCGTCATTTTAAAATCCATTCCACTGCATAACAATGGTTAAGAACGAAGAGACAAAACTTTACATACACAATCATCCCTGCTATTAACCTAACCTGGAGAAGACCCAGATTCAGCAGGAAGAGGTAGCTAGTATCAATATCCATTTAACCTTGTCCCTCTTGCCCACCCCCCCAAGACTCAGGTTAGAAATCCTGAAAGCTTCATTTGCTGATGCCTCTAGTCCCCAAAGCTGGCCATAGAGAAGGGACCCTGGGATCCGGTTCTGAGACAGTTCCCTTTAGGTTTAGTGGGGCTGGGTGAGAGAAAGGCCAGCTTGAGCAGCTTCTGGGGGCAGGAAGGGTTTTCTGCAGGCTTCTGGGGAACAGGTTGCTCTTCCCAGTGAGCCAGGTGCCAGCCAGAGAACTTTCCCAGGCCCCTGGATTTCCCCTGGCGTCCAGCCAAAGGCTTTGGGCTCTTGGCGGTTTTTGGGGCGAGGAATGTTCTTCCTCCCTCAAGCAGGCAGCCTCCCTGGGAGCTTTTCCCTTGCCTATGCTGTGCAGAAAAGAGTTGCTGGACTCTGGGGAAGCAAATGCCTCTTGGCTGCTTGTCCCTGGTCACCCAGTCAGAGACTCCTGCAGGGCAAGGCATGGAAAATCTTTGTCATGCATTTCTCAGTTCCACCCACCTACTCCTGCCCCTCCCCAGATGAAAGAAACCAGTGGGGTACATAATGGCCAGTGAGGACAAGGTAGTGGGACAAAGGCCTTGAGGAGGCAGCAGCTGCCGAACAGGGATGGGGAGGGCTTGCTGGGAGCAAGGTGGCCATTTGAAGCAAAGCCCAGGTTGCCCCTTCCCCAGCTGGAGGAAGGGAGCATTCAGAAATGTGTGGGTTTGGACAGCCCAGGAATTTGTACATGGGGAAGGAAGTGGACCGCAGAGCGAATGCCTCGGCCCACATAAATCCCCAGGATCAGAACCGGACCAACCCTCGGCTGGCATCTCCCTTGATCTCCATCTGCATTATTTATGACATGGCAGACATGCCATTGGGTGAGCCCCCAGCCACCGACTTCTTGCACCTCCAAATCAATTTAGGGAATCAACAACCACTGCCTGGCCCCTGGCACTGGCAGAACTGGCTATCTTTCCCCAATAAGAGGGTTTGTTTGGCCGTCTCACTGGGCCGGAATACTGCTTGGACCTTGGCCTGGTCCCTGCCAGGTGCCTCTCAACCATCTGATTATAATGCACTCCATCACTGGAGGTTTTTAAGAAGTGACTGGATAGCCATTTGTCCAGAGTGATATCGGGTCTCCTACTAGAGCAGACCTCCAAAGTCTCTTCCAACTCTGTTACTGTTTTACCTGGAGTGCCTTTTAAATGCCCCGGTTTGCATGTGCTCTAGAAGGCCCTTTGACCGAATGCCCTGCAGAATGAGGCTGCCATTTTGAGTGTCTGCTAGCACCCATCTCTTGGCTGATCTGCTGACTCTGGAAATTGGGCACCGTTGCAGAGGGCCCCACCGGGTTCAAAAGTCTGAGGAAGGAGGCGGTTCAGTTGCCTTGATGCAGCCCTGACTGGCCTCACAACTGAGCTCCTCCTCTCTACCCCACAGAAGCAGGGGTGCAGAAGAACTGGGGTGGGCACAGGCTGGGCCCCCAGAGCAGCTCTCCCTCCCAGATTACTGCTCTCCCCTCTTCAACCTAAATTCCCAGGATCTCAGCATCTGGGCAGAATCAGGGCAGCTGTCCGTGAAAGAAGAGCAGGAAACACTATTTATAGATCAAAGGTTGAAAACAAAAACAACGGCTGCTGAGCCAAAGTTCTCCCTGTTTTTCTGAAGCTTGTTTTCCGTGTTTCTTCTCTTCTGGGATGTTCTAAGTCCATCCCGACTTTCCACTGGCAAGTGCCCAGGGACACATCTCTTGGAAGCATGTGCTCACACTCTGGCTCAGCCTGGCCTAGAAGGCGCCTTCTTTGCTGATGCGGAGTCCCAGGCTGATGGCTGGTGGGCGAGAGCCCGAAGGGAAGGGAAGCTGATTGATTGCCTGAGCAATTCACTCCCCCCCCCTTCCAAGCTGGCCTGTCCCAGAATTGGTGTTACCTTAGAGCTTGTCTGGCTGCACCACCACAAGTTTAAACCACCCTTCAGGACTTCATCTCTCACAGGCAAGCAATAAATGAAACACAAAGTGCAACACAGGAATATAAATTTGAAGAGAGCCTTCCTGGAACATCCACCCACATTACTGGAGTGCAGTCCTGAAGGAAGACCATGAATAGACCCCCCCTTTTTTTTTTAAAGGCACAGGATACTTGAGGAAATTCTGCCAATTAGGGATTGTGGCTGAAACTCTGCTGCTGATTGATTGATTGATTGAATGAATGAATGAATGAATGAATGAATGAATGAATTTATATAGCCACCCATTTCACTTGCATGTGTTGGTAGCCATTAAGTGAACTCCTGTTAATAAGGAGCCCTTTTGGAGGTTTTCCCCCTCCCACCTCCCCAGAGATCAATGCTCCATCAGAGGGCCTTGTCCAAACTTGCTTCAGGCTTCCAGAATCTGGCAAGGCCTGGATCAGTCAGACACAGTAGACCCTGCTGGAAGGTTCCAGGTAGCTGTTAAAACCTGCATTGCGTCTCACTAGATCCTGCAAAGATTCCTGACTATGATACCATTGTCCCCAGTAAATGAGGACTTCACAGTACTGGCCCCTCCCTGGACTGTGAAGCAGGCAAGCAAGGTTCACTCAAGACGTGGGGGATCAGCATGCATTGGGGTGAAACTTGGAAAGAGAGAAGGG